CGCGGCGCGCGCCGCGCTCGCGCAGCGCGTCGGACGCCTCCACGATGTCGGAGAGCCCGCCGATGCCCGAGCCGATGGCGACGCCCGTCCGCTCCTGCTCGGCGCGGGTCTCTGGCGACCAGCGCGCCTGCACGAGCGCCTCGTCGGCGGCGGCGAGGGCAAACTGCACAAAGGTGGAGAGCGACGTCTCGTCGCCCGGCGCGGCGAGGCCACAGCCAGCGAGCGAGAAGCCGCCCTCGCCCTCCCGCGGCACTGGCGCCGCGATCTGCGCAGGAAGGCCGTCGAGCGATGGCAGCCGCCGGACCGCGGTCTCGCCGGCGAGCAGCCGACGCCAGCTCTGCTCGACGCCGACGCCAAGCGGCGTGACCAGGCCGACGCCAGTGACTACGACGCGGCGGGATGGCAGCATGGCCGAACAAAGAATTCTTAAGCTGCCGCCTGCGGCTGCGCTGCAGCGACTGTCAAAGAGGGGCGCACGAGAAGAAAGAATTTAAACAAGGCAAGTCTCGCAGAGCAGACAGGCTCGACACAGGTGCGAACTGGCGCGTGCTAGTACTATCACCGGCACACCACCGGAGCCGCCTAAGCGACTCCGTTAAGAACGGCAATGCACTTAGCACCGTGCACAATGCCGCTGTCCCCGCACGCTAGCTCGTTCACCGTCTGCCACGCCACGGCGGTGTGGAGAACGACAGACAAGCGCTGCATCTGCAGCCCGTGCCAGTTCTTGGTGGTCCATGTGACCTCATCGAGGTGCTGAGCGTCGCTAGGGTGCCCACAGGACCCCAAAAAAGAAAAGGCCTTAGTATGATCTGTGACGTCGTTCGAGCTCCTTGCGCCAGCCTTCGTGCTGCGCTGCTGTGCTGGAGCGGCTGACGCAGGGATGGCTGAGCTCTGCCATAGGAACGCACATCATGTGGGTACTCTGCGGGTCACTTACTCACTCGAATCACAATTACGGCCCGACACGCACATACAAGACAAACCCGGCGTCCTGCTCTCAAAAGAAAAAGAAAAACGGGAATGAGGAGACCAGCGGGGGAGACTCCCCGCCTATGCAAGCCCCAGAGAGGGGCCGCCATCGCCGAAGCTGTGCCAAAGCATAACTCCAAAACCCGCAGCGGCCCAGGGGGCCTTGGGGGCAGCCTGCCGGACCGCCGCTGCACGGGGCTTAGGCACCAGAAGATGAGTGGAATTGATGAATTGGGCCGTTGTCCGTGCCTCCCCTCTATACGTCAGAGTGGACCTACGCCGCGCCGGGTAAGGGGCGCGCCCGGTCCTCGACGGAGCCGCGCGCCCCAAACGACCCAGGCGGCGAGTAGTCGTCGTTGAACCTCCGGCATGTAGTTGCCCATAGTTAGCGCCCGCCCGCCCCCCCCCTCCGTCGCTTCGCGAAAGAAAAAACAAAATAAAAACAAGCAAAAGAGAAAGCGAAGCCAAAAAACGATTGCGTAAACGGCGTCACAAAGCCCGCCGGTTTTGATCGACAATCGTGAGATTGACCGCCGTCGACCAGAGAATTGACGGCAGCATGCAGACGGACAGAGTTCTCGTCTCCCGCTCGCTCGCCGGCTCAGCTCGCCATGCTGGTTCTGCTGAGTGCCTGCTCCGCCGGACCAGCGCGCAGACGCAGCAGCCATAGTGCGCCGGGCCTCGCCCGGCGCACCGGCCGAAGGGGCTCGGCACTGGATGGCTCGGCACTGCGCGGCTCGGCACTGCCTTGTCACTTATCAGACGTCTCCCTCGTGATGCTCACGCTCTCAGTCGGTACGGACAACCGCACGCGCGTCGCTGCAGGCAAGGACAACCG